GGGATATGTATTCTTTAGAATACTATACCGCAGTAAGAAACAACGAAATCCAGTCATTTGCAACAAAATGGAGGAATCTGGAACACATCATGCTGAGTGAAGTAAGCCAGTCCCAAAGGGACAAATACCATATGTTCTCCCTGATCGGTGACAACTGACTGAACACCAAAAAGGAAACCTCCTGAAGCGAAATGGACACTATGAGAAATGGTGACTTGATCAGCATAGCCCTGACTGCTAATGGACAACTTAATACATTATCCCTCATAGTATTTTTTTTTTTTTGTCTGTTCTACTTAATATGACTGGTTTAATTCTGTAATTATCACACAGTTATTCTTAAGTGTTGAAAATTAACTGAAATGTGATCCCTGTTAAACATAAAAGTGGGAATAAGAGAGGGAAGAGATGTATAATTTGGGGCATGCTCGGGCTGACTTGCCCCAATTGGTAGAGTTGGAAACATACTAGGGGATTCCAATTCAATCCCATCAAGGTGGCATGTGCCAATGCCATCTCACTATTCCAAGTGATCAATTTCAGTTCACAATTGATCATAATGAAAGGACTAAGAGTCAAAGGGAGCACATAAACAAGTCTAGTATCTGCTAACACTAACCGATAGAATAAATAAAGGGGAGAGTGATCCAACATGGGAAGTGAGATACTCAGCAGACTCATAGAATGGCGGATGTCCTAAATAGCACTCTGGCCTCAGAATCAGCCCTAAAGGCACTCGGATCTGGCTGAAAAGCCCATGAGAGTATTTCAGGCATGGAAAGCCAAGAGACTCTGGCAAAAAGATCTCTGTGAGTGAGATCCCAGTGGAAAGAACAGGTCTTCAAAGAGGGAGGTACCTTTCTCTGAAGGGAGGAGAGAACCTCCACTTTGACTATGACCTTGTCTAAACAAGATAAGAGTCGGAGAACTCAAGGGGCTTCCATAGCCTTGGAAACTCATGACTGGTGCATAGGGAGATTACTGATGCCATAAACAGGAGTGTCAATTTGTAAAGTCAACAACAGGAGTCACTGTGCACTTACTCCTCATGTAGGATCTCTGTCCTTAATGTGCTGTACACTGAGGCTTAATGCTATAACGAGTACTCAAACAGTATATTTCACTTTGTGTTTCTATGGGGGTGCAAACGACTGAAATCTTTACTTAATGTACACTAAACTGATCTTCTGTTAAAAAAAAAAAAAAAAAAAGAAACTATCAATTCCCAACTTGACTCTCACTGGGATTAAACATGACAATAGGTCTGATCTGATTTCATCATCATTTAAAAAAAAATCATCTATTATTTTTCACTTTATGTTTCTGTGTGGGAACAAACTGTTGAAATCCTTACTTAAGGTATACTAAGCTGATCTTCTGTATACTAAGATAATCGAAAATGAATCTTGATGTGAATGGAAGGGGAGAGGGAGTGGGAAAGGGGAGGGTGGTGAGTGGGAGGGACGGTATGGGGGGGAAAGCCATTGTAACCCATGAGACGTACTTTGGAAATTTATATTCATTAAATAAAAGATAAAAAAAAAAAAATAAGGATGAAGCTAACTTCAGGATCTAGATAGATCTTATACAGCTTATCATTCTAAAGAAGTATATCCATCTATTAATAATTATTTATTGAGTGATGTTATTTGATTTGTTAAGAATAATGGAAATTGAATATCATCAAATGCCATTTTAGCATTTGCCTAAATAATCATATGGTTTTATCTTGTTAAATATATTAATATAGTGAAGCATTGCAAAAATTGAATCATTTACACTCAGTAAGCCCAACTAGTTAGGATTTATTATTTTTATTTATTGATGAATTTTTGCAAAATTTTGCTTATTTTATGAAAATAAATTTTTCCTACTTTTCCTGTGTTTTAGAACTGTTTAAGTAGCAGAAGAATGTTTTTTGCAGTCCCTCTGTTTTTAAGGTGGTTTTCTTTATTATATCTTAGTTATTTGTCTTCCTTAATTTTTTTCATTGCAGTTCCATAGAATAATTTCCTCAATCAGGTGTTAATCCCCATTATGCTAATTAGTCCCTTTTAGGTCATTGTAAGTCTAATAGAAAATAAGTCTCATAGCTTCTCAGAGATCAGCAGTGATATTTAAAGTAAATGTCTTCCACTTCTGTTGCTTCACTTGAGTCACTGCTGAATGAGTTCCTGAATGTGGAAGATGCTCCCTTTGGAGAGAGGGTAACTTCCTGGATGAAGAAGGAGATGGTTTAAAGACAAAGAAAATAAATGGAAACATATTACAAAAAGTAATCATCTATAGAGTGGCAAAAAGTTACACATATAAAAATTAAGAATGTTTAAAGCAGTAAAGTTAAGACAGTTTTATTTCCTCTCAAAAAATTATGTAGGACAGGGAGGAGAACAGTTTAAAGTTTATTACATTCTTGCAGTGATAGTAACCCTTTGGCACTTACTTGGCATTCAACTCCTGAATTTCAAACAATTTTTTATCTTCTAAGAAGCTGTTACTGGCTTTAGTCAAAAGTAGGGCAGCATGATGTTTACTATAAAAAAATTATATGGTTACCTCCAAAACATGAGACCTAGTTAATTTTAATGTCAAAAAAAGTTTGATGTTTTTTCATTTGAGGTGAGTATAAATAGAAAATGAATGAATTAAGAAAGACCTTCTTTCTCTCTAGCTGGCAGAAAGAGAAATGTTTTAAAATTTGCCTTCAGTTATTTTTATTTTTGTAAACATATACAATGTTTTTATGCAAGTAACTCATTTACATGACCACAGCCCAGCTAAAACCCTGGCAAGTAGAGCAAACTGGAAGGAGGAATAGACCTGCGACACAGAGCCTTCCATGCCAAAGACATAAGGGCAAACCCTCTACTGGTGTCTATAATTCTCTACATGCTACCCTAAAATTAATTAAAGCTCTCCCTCATAAGTATGGCAATGTAAAATAATTACCAAGAATTCATGTAATTACTAATATTCTCATCTGTATGTTAGCTATAATAATATTAACTATAACCAAAAATGTAACTAGAATCTTGCCTAATTTTCTAAAAGAAATGTATTTTTAACGTCTTGATTCTTTAGTAGGTATTGACAAATTTGGTCTTTTATTATACTTCATCACTCTGTCCCTTCCATTTCCTTTTTTAAAAATGTGCTCCTCTATAAATAGGACTAGTGTCTGCTAATAATAACTTACAGAATTAAAAAGGAGAACAATCCAACATAGGAAGCAGACGCACAGCAGACTCGTAGAATGGCAGATGCCCTAAACAGCACTCTGGCCTCAGAATCAGCCCTTAAGGCATTCGGATCCAGCTAAAAATACATGAGAGTTTCTCAGGCATGGAAAGCCAAGACACTGTGGCAAAAAAATAAATAAATAAATAAATAAATAAATAAATAAATAAATGAAAGATCTCTGTGAGTGAGATCCCAGGGGAAAGAATGAGCCATCAAAGAAGGACGTGCCTTTCTCTGAATGGAGGAGAGAACTTCCACTTTGATTATTGCCTTGTCTAAATAAGGTCAGAGTTTGTGAACTCAAGAGGCTTCCATAGCCTTGTCAGCTCATGACAACAGCCTTAGGAGATTACTGACGTCATAAATAAGAGTGTCAATTGTTAAATCAACAACAGGAGTCACTGTGCACTTGTTCCCCATGTAGGAGCTCTGTCCTTAATATGTTGTACTATGCAAATTAACAGTAAAGCTACTACTCAAACAGTACTTCATACTTTGTGTGTCTGTGTGGGTGCAAACTGTTGAAACCTTAGTATATACCAAGTCGATCTTCTGTGTACAAAGATAATTGAAAATGAATCTTGATAAAAAATGGGATGAGAGAGGGAGACAGAGATGGGATGGTTGTAGGTGGGAGGGAAGTTATGGGGGGAAAAGCTGCTATAATCCAAAAGTTGTACTTTGGAAATTTATATTTATTAAATAAAAGTTAAAAAAAATGTGCTCCTCCGACCTCAGAATCAGCCCTTAAGGCTTCCTGGTTTGGCTGAAAAGCCTGTGAGAGCATTTCAGGTATGGAAAGCCAAGACACTGTGGCAAAAAATGTTCTACATAAAGGATCTCTGTGAATGAGGCCCAGTGGAATGAAGTGGTCATCAAAGAAGGGTGTACTTTTCCCTAAAAGGAAGAAAGAACTTCCAATTTGCTTATGGCCTTGTTCAAATACTGATTGAGTTTAAAGTTTCAAAAGGTTCCATAGCCTAGACAACTCATGTCAAGAGCTTAGGGTAGTCCCTGACATCATACATAAGAGTATTAATTGTTAAATTGACAGCAGGAGTCACTGTGCATTAACTCCCCATGCAGGACCTCTATCCTCAATGAGTTGTATTATGAGAGTTAACTGTTAAACTAGTTCTCAATTTGTGTGTGTGTTTATGTGTGTATGCAAATTGTTGAAAAATACTTAGTATAGAGTTGGTTTTCTGTGTACAAAGTTAACTGAAAATGAATCTTAATGGAGAATGGGACTGGCAAGGGGAGAGGGAGGCGGTGGGGTGGGAGTGTGGGTAGGAGGGCTGATATGGTGAGGAGAATCACTATATTCCAAAAGTTGTACTTATGAAATTTGTATTCCTTAAAAAAAAATAGGTGTTCAGTTGTTATTTCTATAATTGTTACTGATAAATAGTACATGAACAAAATCATTTTCCAGGCACCTGGAATCCAGCCATTCATCAATTTAACCAAAGAGTGACCTATGATAGTCACAGTGAGAATAAATATGTAACAATGATATCAAATATCACTAAATGATTCACAACTTATGTCCACTAAAGCCAAATGCATCATTTTTTTATTGCAGCCACAACCAACCCATCAAAAATAGCACTCATGAGACCTGAACATCACCCTAATTTAAACTCATTCCTCACTGTTATCATTGGTTGGGAATTTTCCCTTCAGCTCCCACATTGTCTTCAAAATGAATGTGTAGATCAATTGTGCTGTCTTAAGTCAACTGCATTTCTTTGTTTCAGATGGTTATACCACTGATGACATTGAGTTTTACTGGAATGGAGGAGAGGGAGCAGTAACTGGAGTTAATAAAATTGAGCTTCCTCAGTTTTCAATTGTTGATTACAAGATGGTGTCCAAGAAAGTGGAATTCACAACAGGTGAGGATGTTTTATCCAAAATGAATTAAGGATTCTTTGAAAAGAATAGGATGACTTCAAACAGATGATCTGATTTTTTTTCTTTTTCTTTTTTCAATCCAGGGGCCTACCCACGACTCTCTCTAAGTTTTCGACTGAAGAGAAACATCGGTTACTTCATTTTGCAAACTTACATGCCTTCTACACTCATTACAATTCTGTCCTGGGTGTCTTTTTGGATCAATTATGATGCATCAGCAGCCAGAGTCGCACTAGGTAATGCATTCCCAATGTTGCATAGGGCTACTGAATTGTACCTTCAAACAGATAATTAATATTAGCAATTACAGACAAGAACATTTAATATCAAACCAAAAAATTAAATTACCATAAAAGTGCTTAAATATAAAAATCTAAATATAAGCATGTCTACAATGAATGTCTTACACTGCACTATCTTTTTAGCATTTTACCAAAAAAAAACTTGAAGTATGTTTCACACTATATGTGCTTTGTACAATACATTTTTAATTCTCATTGCACAAATTTTTAGCAATGTTTGATGAATTCCTTGTTGGTACTTGCTTTTTACAGTGGAAAATACTTACAACATGTTATTTTCAACTGGATTTGTAGAAATCAAAACTTTTTGAGTACTAATAAGCCTCATCAACTAGTGGGAAATACCAGCATTTGAATATTAACTAAAATTAAATCATTGAAGCCGGGTATCCTGTAAGTGTGACTCATTATATTGAATAAGGCACAGACAATTCTTCAGCTATATTAATGATCTATAATCAAGTCAAAATGAAAAATGGTTTCCTTCTCAGTGGAACAAAATTCAGAGTTAATTTTCTGTGGTTGAATAATGGCTGGAAGCTAAAAGCTGTATTTAAGACCTTATAAGAGGCTGGGGCTGTGCATATTGGGTAAATCCTCAACTGCAGTGCCAGCATCCCATATGGGCACCAGTTTGAGTCCCGGTTCTTCACTTCCAATCCAACTCTCTACTATATCCTGTGAAAGCAGTAGAAGATGGTCCAAGTCCTTGTGCCTCTGCACCCGTGTAGGGGAACCAGAAGCTCCTGGCTCTTGGCTTCAAATTGGCACAGCTCCGGCCATTGCAGCCAACTGGGAAGTGAACCAGCAGATGGAAGACTTCTTTCTCTCTCTGCCTCTGCCTCTTTGTAACTCTGCCTTTCAAATAAATAAATAATTTTTTAAAAAATATCTTATAAGGTTCCTTGGAAAGTGAAAATGAGTAAGGTGTATCTGATGAATATGACCACGTGCTAGTCTGTCTCTGTTCGATGCTAGAACCATTTCAGTTGTCACATTCAGTGTTTATTCTCTCTCTCTCTCTCTCTCTCTCTCTCATTCTCTTACACACACACACACACACACACACAGAACATCTTTTTTTTTTAAAGAGATATTTATTTATTTGAAAGGCACAGCTACAGAGAGAGAAAGAGAAAGTCTTCCATCCACAGGTTCACTCCCTCAAATGGCCACAACAGCCGGAGCTGGGCCCATCCAAAGACAGGAGCTTCTTTGAAGTCTCCCACCTGGGTGCAGGGGCTCTAGGACTTGGGCCATCTTCTGCTGCTTTCCCAGGCCATAACAGAGAGCTGGATTGGAATTGGAAAAGCCAGAACTTGAACCAGCATCCATATGGGATGCCGGCATTGCAGGAGGTGGCTTTACCCACTACGTACAGCACTGGCCCCCAGTGCCTCATTTTTTACTGACACATTACACCTTCTCTCTTCTTAAACTACTGACCTGGATTATATGAGCAGCACATCTTTTTACACTTTGACTAATTGTCATCTCAACAGCCTATTTGTATTGGCTGAGTACAACTGGGTCACCAAGACAAACACGTGAAGCTGCTTATCAACCTTTGAGTATTTTAAGATTACAGAGAGCAAACAAATAGTTTTTTGTATCAAACATACATGTCTACACATGTAACTTGACTATTAATATGGTTTCATGTAATTGCCATGGTTCAAAGAAAAATGCTGAGTGATGTCCACAACAGGTAATAATAGCTAGCAAGCTCAATAATTGTGACTCTCTTTACAAATATATCCTCAAAGCCAGTGATTTTTTTTAGATTTATTTATTTGGTTTTTTAAAATTTTTTATTTAGTAAATATAAATTTTCAAAGTACAATTAATGGATTACAATGGCTTCCCCCCCTCCATAATTTCCCTCCCACTCACACCCCTCCCATCTCCCGCTCCCTCTCCCATTCCATTCACATCAGGATTCATTTTCAATTATCTTTATATAAAGAAGATCAATTCAGTATATATTAAGTAAAGATTTCATCAGTTTGCACCCACACAGAAACACAAAAGGAAAATACTGTTTCAGTACTACTTATAGCATTACTTCACATTGGACAACACACTAAGGAGAGATCCCACATAAGAAGTAAGTACACAGTGACTCCTGTTGTTGACTTAACAATTTGACACTCTTGTTTATGGCGTCAGTAATCTCCCTAGGCTCTGATCATGAGTTGCCAAGGCTATGGAAACCTTTTGAGTTCGCCAACTTCGATCTTATTCCGACAGGGTCATAGTCAAAGTGGAAGTTCTCTCCTCTCTTCAGAGAAAGGTACCTCCTTCTTTGATGGCCCCATTCTTTCCACTGAGATCTCACTCACAGAGATCTTCCATTTAGGTCTTCCTTTTTTTTTTTTTTTTCCAGGGTGTCTTGGCTTTCCATGCCTAAAATACTCCCATGGGCTCTTCAGCCAGATCAGAATGCCTTAAGGGCTGATTCTGAGGCCAGAGTGCTATTTAGGACATCTGCCATTCTATGAGTTTACTGTGTATCCCGCTTCCCATGATGGATTGTTCTCTCCCTTTTTGATTCTATCAGCTAGTATTAGCAGACACTAGACTTGTTTGTGTGATCCTTTTGACTCTTAGACCTATCAGTGTGATCAATTGTGAACTGAAATTGATCACTTGACTAGTGAGATGGCATTGGTACATGCCACCTTGATGGATTGTATTGGGATCCCCTGGCATGATTCTAACTCCACCATTTGGGGCAAGTCCGATTGAGCATGTCCCAAATTGTACATCTCCTCCCTCTCTTATTCCCATTCTTATATTTAACAGGGATAACTTTTCAGTTAAAATTTAAACACCTAAGAATAATTGTGTGTTAATCACAGGGTTCAACCAATAGTACTAGAACAAAACAAAGAGAAAATACTAAAATGGATAAAGTATTACATTGTACATCAACAGTCAGGACAAGAGCTGATCAAGTCACTGTTTCTCATAGTGTCCATTTCACTTCAACTCAGTTAGTTGTCGCCGATCAGGGAGAAAATATGGTATTTGTCCCTTTGGGACTGGCTTAATTCACTCAGCATAATGTTTTCCAGATTCCTCCATCTTGTTGCAAATGACCAGATTTCATTGTTTTTGACTGCTGTATAGTATTCTATAGAGTACATGTCCCATAATTTCTTTATCCAGTCTACTGTTGATGGGCATTTGGGTTGGTTCCAGGTCTTAGCTATTGTGAATTGAGCTTCAATAAACATTAATTAGGAGATTTATTTATTTGAAAGGCAGAGTTACAGAGAGGCAGCAGGAGAGAGAGAGAGAGGTCTTCCATCCACTAGTTCACTTCCCAGCCGGAGCTGGGCCGATCCAAAGCCAGGAGCCAGGAGACTCTTCTGGGTCCCCCACGTGGGTGCAGGGGCCCAAGAACTTGAGACATCTTCTACTGCTTTCCCAAGCCATAGCTGAGAGCTGGATCAAAAGTGGAACAGCTAGGACTCAAACCAACGCCCGTATGGGATGCAGGCGCTGCAGACCAGGGCTCTGGCACCACAGCACCAGCCCCATGGTATGTCATTTTTACTGTCATAGGAAAGGAGCCAAATTCTAGCTCTGTGTGGTAAGTTTTGTGGGTAAAACATGACTAACACAAAGGCTCTGGTTCTAAAGATAGTCTTTAAAAGATTAATGGGAATCGTAAGAGAAATGAGCTAAAATAACTTGTTTAATATCTGCTTCTCTACAATATCATCTTATTCACTGTTCATTTTTAAAATTAGTTTTCATTTATTTGGGAGAGAGGACAGGAGGGAGGGTGGGAGACAGAGACAGAGACATATCTCCCATCTGCGGGTTCATTCCCCAGATGCCTGTAGTGGCTGGGGCTGAAGCTGGAATCACAGTCCTGGTCTCCCTTGTGGTGGCAGGAACTCAATTACTTGAGACATTGCTATAGTCTCCCAGGGTCTGCACAGGTGGAACCTGGAGTCAGGAGCCAGAGCCAAGGATTTAATCCAGGCACTCTGATGCAGGACTCAGGCATTGAAGCAGCAAGCGAAACACCCACCTCCTTGTTCACTATTTTAACCAGTAACACAGATAATGTCTGACATGTAGGGGACACCTAGTGGATAACTTTCTTGGTGATTTAATGAATGTTAATCAGATTTTCCATGGTATTCTTTGTACTCTAACAATGAATACTGTCTAAGGAGAACAAATCGTGAGAGTAAAGGCAAATAAAATTAGAACAAGTATTGTTGGATGAAGACATGTGTCGCTCCCCCTCTTCGTGGAGGAACGACACAGGACCCTGCGCTGTTCTTTTGTCTGCTCGGCCCTTCCCGGGTTTGCTGCTGGTTCTTCCCGGGTTGGCTACCGTCCCTTCCACCTCCGTGGAAGGGCGGTTCCCCCTAGCCACTTTCCCCACTTCCGCGGGGGAGTGGCACACCGCCGGCCGGCTCTCTCGGGGGCTGCACAGGTGTTCCTTCAGATAGATGTTCCTCTTAGATGTTCCTGGTGCATGTTATCTCTCTCCTCCTTTATAGTCCTCTTCCGCCAATCCCAACTCGGTTGCCCACACGCCGAGTACGCTGCTCTCCTCCAATCAGGAGCAGCTCCTGCAGCTTGTCAAGTTGGTGAGAGGCAGCTGGGTAGAAGCTGTTTGCTCCTCTCCCAGCGCCATATTGTGGGAGAGCAGATGCATAGAATAAGTCTTAATTCCAGTAACTTAGTCTAGTCCGAGTTGCTCCCAGTTGCTCCCCACAGACATGGGGTTCTTTGCTGGCATCCACGTTGATTCCATTTGACCCTTCAACTAAACTATGCTAGAAACACTGATTATATTTGTCCTCAGTCATTGAGGGCTTCAGTTGTCCTCAAATGGGGCCAGTTTTGTCCTTCCCCACCATGTTTGGGGACATTTGGCAATATCTGGAGATATTTTTGGCTGTAGGTACCACAGGCCTGAGATACTGTTAAATATCCCACAATGTGTAAGAAACAACAAAGAAGTACCCAGCTCAAAATGTCAAAAATACTGCCCAAGAAACCCTGGGTTAGAGGAAGTCACCCCTTGGGTTCAAGAGAGAGGAAAGTGTCAGAGCATAAAGAACAGAGAGCTTCAGTCAGATCCTTGGGCTTCAGTTGTCACTCTACCCCTAAGTCCTGGGAGCAGATCCTATGGCCCTCAGCAAACAGCAACAATGACACCTCCCCTGCAGGGCTGTTGTCAGAAGGTAATGGGAAGATATGTAAGGTATATGGCATTTCATTGATCAATAAAAGGTAGCTATCCTCATACAACTAATTAATGCCAATGTTTCTGCAGTATAGAAAAGCATTTTAAAGATTATGGGGTCAGATGCAGCCCAGTATCTGCATTTCAAACACCCTGCTCTGGATCCCCATTCTCTAGGGGGTCCTGCTCACCCTTCCTCTGAACCCAGGATGGTGCCAGCTAGGCTTCATCCTGTCTGATACCTTCAAGGGAAAACTCAGAAAGGAGCTTAATATTTACAGCCATAAAATCCTTAGTTTCAGGAGGAGATGTGTGAAGACAAAGACCCATCTCCTTAAAAACCCTTGACCTCAACCAGATTGCGCGCTCTGCCTCTCTGCTGAGTCGCCCGCCTGGTCTGGCCAGGTGTAATCTCTCCACTCAACCATGTAACCTCCACCCAGCCCCAGTCTCTCAGGCTGTCTGAAGAGGTGCCCATCCATCATTATGGATGTCCCTTCCTTAATAAACCTTGCTATTTTACCTCCTACTAAAAAAAAAATAAAAATAAATAAAAAATAAAAAAAGATTATGGGGTCTAGCAACTTGAAAAACAGAATTTTAAAGCTGGAAAAATTATAAATATCGAACTAAATATTGCATTGTATACACAAGGAAAGTGAGGTTCAGAGACACTGACTTATACCAGAAGACACAGCAAGACAGTGGCAGCTCAGATAAATTACACCACTGTTTACTCCGCTACTGTTTTATGACCCACATAAACAGATTTTTTAAAATCCCTAAACTGTAAAATTATTTACAAATCTATAATAAAGATTTAAATCAATTTGAATATAAAATTACTATGCCCACTAAAATTTATATGGTAGTATGACTAGGCCATAAAATATTTTAAGTTGTTGCTTGGGATGCCCGCATCCCATGTCTGAGTGCTGGTTCAATCCCAGCTATTCAACATTTGAGATCAGACTTCTTGCTAATATACACCCTGGGAGGCAGCTGCTGATGGCCCACGCAGGTGGGCTCCTGCTACTCCTGTGGCTGATGGAATTTAAAGCTTCTGGCTTTGGGCTCTGCCCAGACTGTTGGAGCCATTTGGAAAGTGAACCAGTGGATGGAAGATCTCTTTTTACTGTCTTTCTGCCATTCAAGTAAATACATACAATACAACAAGGGAGAGACCAAAACTGTGAGTAGTATTATAAAGAAGTTGATTGTCTTCACTTAAATTATAAAATGGAGTAATGACAAATGGCCAATTCCAATCATTTACTCATTGCTTCATCCCCAAAAACACATCCATTTTGAAGAAGTATTAATAATATAGCAAAAATAAATAAATAAAAATTTAAAACACACACACACATACACACATCCAGGGTTGGCACTGTGGAATAGCAGGTAGATCCTCTGCCTGCAGTGCCAGCATCCCATATGGGTGCCAGTTCGAGTCCTGGCTGCTCCACCTCCGATCCAGCTCTCTGCTGTTATCTGGGAAAGCAGTAGAGAATGTCCCAAGTCCTTGGATCCCTGCACCCACGTGGGAGGCCTGGAAGAAGCTCCTGGCTCCTGGGTTAGGATCAGCCCAGCTCTGGCTGTTGTGGCCATTTGAGGAGTGAACCAGCAGATGGAAGACCTCTCTCTCTCTGCCTCTGCCTCTCTGTAACTCTGCCTTTCAAATAATCAATAAATAAATCTTAAAAATAAAATAGATGCAGTCTGCAGGAAGAACACAAGATCTGTCAATGGAACTGCACTTGGCTATTTACCATGAGTTCTTAGCCTCTCCTGAGCCTCAGTTTCCATATTTGTAAAATGGAAATACTACTAAACAGTTTTCAAAGGAGGATTATTCAATAATGCACTCTTACACACTGAAAGCACTTCGATAGCTTCTTTTTTTCAACTGTTTGCTGTATTCCTATTATATAGCAGGCACTGCTACAGATACTGGAAATAAACCAAGGAGCCAACCAAAAATCTCTGCCTTCTAGGTGCTTACCTTCTCATGTTCATTTATCTCACCCTGTCCTAGGCATAGTGTGGGTACTTTGGGATGAATAAGAGTCCCAGAATAGGTTAAAATACTCAGTTCAATAACAACGATAAAATGAAGCACTTGAGCAGTATGAGGGCACTTCCAAAAGCTCACAGAAATGTGAAAAAAAATAAGATCATTTGATGAAAAATATTTTGAAAAAATGCATTTTTTCATAGTATGTATTTTCCATGAACTTTTTGAAGACCCCTCATGTATGAGTTTGGGGAAATACACAGTCCTCTCAGAAGCTGGCCATGAGGTCAGAAGAAGGAAAGGGGGGGAGAGAAGATTCCCAGAAGAGAACGTGTTTCCAGTGATATTTCAATTGTGACTTTTATCTATAGCCCTCTATATAGTGTTACAGACTAATTAAGGGAAGCTAGAGTGTTTTAAAATTCATGCTGAGTCATTAGGAAATTGAAGAAAAAGAATTCCTCCATTTGAACCAGTTTGAAACTGATTTTCACTTTCATTTTTATAGTCAACAAAACAACAATTTTTATTACCTTTCCTACACAAAAATAAAGGTTGAAAACTTATACTTGTTTTACTAATAGAAATGGTTCACTCCCCAAATGACTGCAGTGGCCAAAGCTGGGCCAGTCAGGAGCTTCTTTGGGTCTTCTACATGGGTGCAGTGGCCCAAGCACTTGGGCCACCTTCCACTGCTTTCCCAGGCCATAGCAGAAAGCTGGATGAGAAGTGGAGTAGCCAGAACTCGAACCAGCACCCATATGGGATGCCAGCACTGCGGACAGCGCCTTTACCCACTACGCCACAGCAGGGGCCCCGCCAAGATATCTTTATTAGTGATATTAGCAATGTCTGATTATAAAGACATGGATGTAACTTGTTTTGAATGTAGAATTAAACCAGAGATATTTTTAAACATATGTAATTTTAAAGACATTCATTTACCAACCACTTTGTTTAAAAATTTAAACTGACCAAAAGCAGAGATGCAATTAGTGAATTTGTTAATGAATTATTCATCTATTTTAAACTCAGTAGCCAGAATTGTGTGAAATAACATTTAAAGTTTTACTCAAGAACTGAGTGTGACCACTCATGATGACACTCATGTCAGCCCAGCACATTCGTATGCACCACCAGTCTGAACCTTTCTAACTTATACTAGTCCTGTTCATCATATCTGTTCTTCAAGAATTTCAGTCATCAAATCAGAGAACCTGTACATTAGAATAACCTAATTGGAATAATTGGAATAATCTAATTGGAAAAAGTGCTAGACTACTTTCTCTCTTTTCGCTTAGCTACTTTCCATTCCTTTTGTTAGCTTTTATTTGTCCTTATTATCTATTTCATACTTTCTGTCTGTCTTTCATCTTTTCTTCCTTCCTTCTCTTTCCTCTTTATTTCTTTCTATTTTTCTTTCTTTCTATCTTTTTCTATCTAGGCAGCATCATAGGGAGAGAAATTGACATCTTCTATCCACTGATTCACTCTCCATATGTCCACAACAGACATGGCTGAGCCAAGCCAAAGCCAGGAGACAGAAAATTCACCTGGGCCTCTCACAGGGATGGCAGAACACCAAGTACTTGGACTTTCATCTCCTTCCTTCCTGTCATTATTTTAAAGGACTTCCACTAAGTTTCAGTTATTATCTTCTCATTCCTGTATTTATTTTAAATGCTGTTAACATCTTTATGTATTTATTGCTCTCTAGCTGTATAATCTCAGAAAAATAACTAATCAAATAATTTCTGTTTACCTAAGTATGAGAATAATTTACTTTCCCTACAATATTCAGTGTGCTATTTTGACAACCATATAAGATAATTCATAACTATAGATGTTTAAAACTAGAAAACACTATACAAATGTATATTAGTACTGCAATACAAACTATACACGATTCCAACTTCTTTTTCACATCTTATTGAAATTATCATAACCAGCAGCAATACAAAATATTTATTATTCAGCCCACAAACATTAATGGACCATGGAGGAAGCCTACAGCTTTGTCTTTCAAAAAATGTATGCTTTTGTCTAATAGTTTAGCACGTGACTGCCATCTTTACCCCAGGGAGGGAGTGGCATCTGTCCTCTCAGTCTTCCAAAAGGCTGCATCACAGAGGTGTCCTCAGCTTCGCTTTGTCTTTCTTGTTCCACAGGAATCACCACAGTGCTGACAATGACAACCATCAGCACGCACCTCAGGGAGACCTTGCCAAAGATCCCTTACGTCAAAGCGATCGATATCTACCTGATGGGCTGCTTTGTGTTCGTGTTCCTGGCTCTGCTGGAATACGCCTTTGTAAATTACATCTTCTTTGGGAAAGGCCCCCAGAAAAAGGGGGCTGGCAAACAAGATCAGAGTGCCAATGAGAAGAACAAACTGGAGATGAATAAAGTCCAGGTAACGAACTAAGTATTCCTAACAATACTTCCCCCAAGTTTATTGGCAACATGGTGTCATGGGCTCTCATCACAGGGAAAAAGTATAGTTATAAAATGCCAGTTTCTCTTTGATGAGACTCAAGTAACCTTTCATCTGACGTGTATGGAAACTGAGGACTGAAGAAGTTAGGTTGAGGGTTATAAGCACATACATAGATAGGCCTGGAGCTGAACCCCAAGTCCATTATTACTTATTCAGAACTATGGTAAAACCACATGTAAAGAATACTGCCAGACCCGCTTGGTAAATAAATGAGAGCCAAAATGAACTTTGAAGTGGGGAGGAGGCCATGCGGTACAATGATTCCACCACCAACTGGAATCAGACTGCCTGCGTCTCTTGCCACTCTTGAAAATCAACTCACCTCACTCCTTACATGGCTTCTGCTTCCAGTGTCCTCATCCATAAAATGGAGATTATTATAGTATATTTATCACACAGAGTTGCTATCATAAATAAATATTTTGTCTAGTATTTTCTACAATACCTGGGATATAATAATTGCTCAAGAAGTATTAGCTCTTATCATTAATATGAGATATTATTTTTATTTTGCTTTTCATTTGTACATCTTACAATCTGTGGTCTTACTAGGTAGAATGAAATGAAAATAGTATGTTGATTATTTTAAAACATCGCTGTAGCCCTTACTTCTGTGTCATTTTCCACCAAAATCAATTTATTATTATGTATATTGAAATACTGTATCTAGGGGCCAGTGTTGTGGCATAGTGGGTAAAGCCACTGCCTGCAGTGCCGACATCCCATATGGACACAGGTTCGAGTCCTGGCTGCTCTACTTCCGATCCAGCTCTCTGCTATGGCCTGGGAAAGCAGTAGAGGATGGCCCAAGTTTTTGGACCCCTGCACCTACATGGGAAACCTGGAAGAGGCTCCTGGCTCCTGGCTCCTGGCTCCTGGCTTCAGATCAGCACAGCTCTAGCCATTACAGCCATCTGGGGAATGAACCAGTGGATGGAAGACCTCTCTGCCTCTGCCTCTCTGTAATTCTGCCTTTCTTTTTTTTAAAGATTTATTTATTTGAAAGTCAGAATTACATATAGAGAAAAGGAGAGGCAGAGAGAGAGAAAGGTCTTCCATCTGCTGGTTCACTCCCCAATTGGCCACAACAGCCGGAGCTGCACCGATCTGAAGCCAGGAGCCAGGGTGCAGGGGCCCAAGGACCTGGGCCATCTTCTACTGTTTTCCCAGGACACAGCAGAAAGCTGGATCAAAGAGCAGCTGGGACTCGAATCAGAGCCCATATGGGATGCCGGCACTGAAGGCGGCAGCTTTACCCGCTGCAACAGCACCGGGCCCCATGTAACTCTGCCTTTCAAATAAATAAATAAGTCTTTAAAAAAATACTGTATCTAACACAAATTGTTTTTTTTTTTTAAAATATTTGCTTGTTTAATTTTGAAAGAGTTAAAGAGGGAGAGGGAGAGAGAGAGAGAGAAACATCTTCCATCTGCTCGTTCACTCCCTAGATGGCCACAAAAGCCAGTGGTGGGCCAGACTGAAGTCAGGGGCCAGGAGCTCCATCGAGGTTTCCAAGTGGGTGGCCAGGGTCCAAACACTTGGGCCATCTTCCACTGTTTTTTCCACTAGCAGGGAGCTGAATAAGAAGTGGAGCTGTCAGGACAAGAATCAGCGCCCATATGGGATGCTGGCATGGCAGGCGACAGCTTTACCAGCTATACCACAAAGCCAGCTTCAGACAAATTGCTTCTAAGTTAGCAGTTGAGGTGACAGCTCAAACATTTGTTCATTCAGGAACTGTTCTGGGCATTAGGCATACTGCTCTGCATGAGACAGAGTTCCTTGCCCCAACAGAATACAGATTCTAAGTCAAAAGACAGCAATAAACACACAAACAAGGGTAATTTCAGGTACTATTAAGTGCTAAAAAGGAAGCACTGCAGAGCGCTGGGTAACAGAATAATTTGGGTTGGATTTGAGAGAGAGGAAACTTTGGAAAGGTGACAAGAAAGCTCTTCTCTGAGCCATTACCATCTGACCCGAGACCTAAGAGATGAGAAGCAGCTAAGCATGCCTACTCTATTCCAGGCCAAGGGAAGAGCAAGTTCTAAGGCTGTGAGGCAGGAATTGGTGATGTGCTAAGTACTGAGAGAGGACCACAGTAGTAAGACCGTGGTGAATAGGGGAGAAAGTATGGTATGAGATATGCTTGGATAATTAAACAGAATCCAAATTATGAATCCTCAAGGTACACCTTCATGATTCAGTACGATATCAAATTGGAGCAAACGCTATGAGGTAACTGGAAAATTACAGGTAAAGAACACAGAAATTCCATAAAATATTAAAATTCAAAGCAGTATATTCAAGTAGACCTTTACTTCTTTATGAAACACTATGTTTGATACTCTAAGAAGTAGACATGAGGTTTGACCTCCAGAATCTTGTGATCTTGTCACAAAAAAGAAATTGTATTCAAATAAGGTAATGAAATACACAGTGGCATGGGACACTTAGTTTAAAAGGAAGTAGATTCCTGTTTTCTAGCCATAACCATACTAGCTTTTAGAATATTTTTATTTATATAAGGTGAACAAATTTCATGTGTTTTATATATGCAGATTCAGGAACATAGTGATACTTTCCATCCTGCCCACACTCCCACCTTCCCTCCTCCTTCCTTTCTTATTCTTTTAATTTTTACAATGATATACTTTTAGTTTGTTTTATAAACAGAAACTTAATCATTCATTGAGTAAAACATTCAATAAATAGGAAGAAGAAAAAAACACATTTCCTCAACAGGAGAGACAAGGGCTGTAAATAATAATCAAATCTCAAAACATCCATGTCATTCATATACCTTTCATTTCTTATAGGTCTAGTTTTCAAAACTGCCTCTCTTCTATTTCCATCTCCAACTCGGGTGCCTCCTAAACAAATGAGTGGGTCCTCTGCACAGCTTGGAATGTGTATTAATCGATAAATCATGAGGGAAAGCCCTACGTAAAAGCAAATGGTATGAGTTCAGTGGTGGGAAAATGCAGAAGACAGGAACTGGATGGGCACCCAAAGGCATGTAGAATCTAGGAAGGAATGAAGAAAACAGCAAGGCTTTTCAACTGACAAGAAAAAAAGCAGTGTTCTGTAGGAAGAGTAGTTAATGAAAGGTCAAGCAAACTGGAATTGGTTTATCCAGATAAAATAAAAAGATAATAAATAAACTTTAGCCAAATACTTTGGGCATTTGGTTGATTTCACATCAGAATATCAGAGAATTTTTCCAAGAGGCTAAGGGGCAAGTAAAAACAGAACAGACTTATACGTTCTAACAAATCTAGGTGCATAATATGAGGTTATTTCAACAAGTTTTGGCAAAATAAAATTAAAAGACAAGTTTATTTTGCGGTGGAAAATTTTGAAATCCATACATAAGAAGGGTCTTATGGGACATGCATATTATGAAAAAATAGGATTTTAAAAGTTCATTGCACAAAAATAAACTTATCTTTTAACCCATTTTTGCCACAAACTCATTATAGTATTCTCATATATATTTATCTGAAGAGGACTCAGCGATTGACTAAAAAAATCAGTAAAATGTCCTTACCTGACTAACATTTAACTTATAAAAAGACTAAGTAAAACTGAATATAAATTTTATTCCAGGTGAATTGACTACTTTTAATTTTAATTCAAAGAGATGGTATAGAAAAATCCTTCAATTATCAGGAGACAATACGCTTAAAGAACATAGGAAAGTATTTTATCCATAAAAGGCTAGAGTAGGAACCACACAAATATCACAGAAAACTGCACAGAATTACTGCCAAATAATCTACAAGCTAGATAAATTTATATCAGACCAACCATCCTACAGGTAAAATTCATAAACTATGACAAGTTTGTTAATTCTGCCTGAAGAAATGAGAGAGTATTTGAAAATGAGCAAAAACTAAACGAAAACCATCTCTTCAGGAAAGGAAACCATACTCTGGGAAACTTTGTGTTTAGACAACTTTTCCCCTAAGACCAAGCCCCACTTTAAGGGGTGGAAGGCATCAGAATTTTGCATCAGGCATCAGAAGACACCAGAAAACTACAGTTTTATTGGTTTGTGAAGTCAGCGCATCGGGTTTGATAATTCCAGAGTTCCTGGAAATTACAGAAAGTGAGTTGCAGCAGAGACTCAAAATCTGAGTATAAACTTCCTTTGAATCCTTGGTTTATCAGTGAACCATAAATGTACAGGTACAATGCCAAGAATCCAGAGGGGAAATCAGTTGAAGACTGAAATTTTAAAAAAGAACAGAAACATCAGTAGCTGTCCACCATGTTAGAGTCAGAGTTTGGAGTTTGAGTCCAGCCTGTATACTGGGGCATGGTAACTATATTAGTCTTTTCATTAAACTCCAAAAGGATCAGTTCTTTAAACTCCACAAGGATCAGTTCTTAGGAGTAAAGACTAAGTCAGGAGAATAAAGAATTTCCTCTGGGATTAGAGAAAAACCAAATGAATACATGCTAACAACACACGAAAACAAGTCTTCACAATTCTAGGTCATAAGTTAGTAATAAAACTGCCTATCAAAACAAAACCCAAGATGCTTCAGAGAAGAAAAATAGATCCAGTCTCTATGGTGCTTCATTCAAAATGTCATCTATAATCGAAAATTACTAACCACAAGAAAAAAAAAACAACAGGAAAATGTGATCATAGTCAAAAGATTTCATCAATAGCAACATAACTGCAGTCTCAAATGTTGGCTTCAAAGATAAATACCAGCGACACGAGGAGATGGCGCTGTCACCCTGGCCTCCACCTAGCTCCTTGCTGCCAGCAGCTGCAGCCCCTCGGCTTCGCGTGCCACCATTTCAGGTTTCTTTACCTCCAGAAAAAAATTGACACCTTGCAAACTGAAAGGTTGTTACAGTCTGAAGTTAGGGACTTCTTTTAAATTTGGACATGGCTAATC